CTACATACATATATCTGACTATTGGTCAGGTAGTAAAATATTTACCTGTTATCTCATTGGTTATTTTTAAAGCTATTTGTTTGTTTGTTTATTTATAAGGCGACTATTCTTTGACCAAATTAGCTGACACTTTCAAAATTTAATTAGCCCCTACGTCACCTATGTCATTTATGAACAATTGGTTAGCATAGCATCAGATTCAGGATTTCTTTCTCTAAGACGAAAAGGTGTTTTTTTCTACGCGGTATGTTTGTGATGTTCCTACACTTACCGAGTTAAAAATCTGCTCATGAAGCCAAATTATGTTTCCTTGAAGTTGAGTTCTGTGTCATTTTAACTGAAAGTTTGTCACAGTTCCTCACAGAACAGAGAATTACTAATATGTGAAATAGTATCTGATGGGATTCTCTTCTTGGTATAGATGTAAAGATTAGCTTTTAGGAGAGAGCTTATAGAAAACAGAGTATGAAGGGTTGCATAAATTCATAGTGCAATTATTGACACAACTATTTCAATATAATAGAATAGACGTGCTACTAACAGTCGTCAAATATACTTGATTTTTATCAAAAATCCAACCGATTGATACCACTTAAATATTCAGAAATTTTAACAGCATAATCTTTATGTGAATTATGCATAAACAGATGCACAAAATCATTTCCTAATTCACATTTCCACTAATAAATATCTGGTAAGTTCTCTTTCTCGAAGAAATGACGTAACTATTTTTGTTACCCTCTAGTTCTCAGTATCAAGTGACGAATTTCGACCGTATCTTTCCTGGCATGCATTATGTGAAGTAGTGGAAAATATCTGAAGGAAAATATAGTCAAAAGTGTTCATAGTTAATGAGTGTTAACACAAAAGTAAGACTAATTATCAATCTCTCCCAATGACGCATAGTTACAGATAACATTCATTCCAAGCTGCGTAATAAAAACACAAGGTCACCTGGTTTGACAACATTTCAGGGAGTGAACTTAATTATGTGAAGGAAGTTCCGCATATAAAGTGATTAAATGCATGCGATATTGTTCAATCATAAAACCATACTTGCTTCAAAGTTTATGGAAACGAAAGCCTATTGAGAGATAACTCAGCACACATTCATTGACATTTCAGTCCCATCTTTCCGGTAAACAAGCTGTGTAACATATAAAGAACAGTCTAAAAGGTCACTAAAAAACATCTTTATAATGATTAAAGCTAATCAAACAAAGTTGCAATAAAAATGTGAAAGACATCCTAGCAGTAGTATTCAGGGATACGAAGAGCAACAGATGCTATAATCAAAATCTGTTTGTGATAGAAGCTAGGAAGGAATATAAACTGCTTTCTTGGTAAGTAATTTTCACGGTAGATTTTGATTAGTTTATATATACAAGCCAAGTGGATTGTGACTGAAGCTTGGAATTCCGTTTTGCCGAATTCTCCAACTGAATTGGTTCATTCTTGTCGGTATATCGACTTTCTGAAATTAATAGTGGTATTCATTATGGACTGACATCTGTTGAAGAACCAGTGAAAATCTCGGAGTACTGCACAGCTGTTTTTTTTTAGGACTTCTCAACACAATCGGCACTCATGATGAAAGACAGACAAAATCAACGTAGAAACTCGTACAACGGTTCATGACCTCAAGTTACCACACCATACAGTAGTATACAAAATTGCGTGAAAGAATAAACAATTTGGAGATAACGGTTAGTACGGATATTCAGGCTTTAGAAGTTTTCAACAGTGAAAATATCTGTGCCATTTTAACAATTTTTCACCCATGTCACTAAGAGTCCTCAACTGCTCATTCCTTTCAACTCGCGGACTTCAACCAAACAATCTACATCTCTCCTCACGACTCAAGCTAGTAGTAAGAGACTGAACGAACTGGTATCACGTCTTTATTTGACCACCCTGAAACTTGTTCCAACACAGTACAGCTTTTCCTAGCATGAAACTTCAAGGTAGGCAGTGGCTCATCACGCCCATTACGTGTCCAAGCCGTCTTAGTCGACTAAAGATCCCAACGTCATCAATCGATTTGCCTTCTTGTCTGATATCCTTCGCCTGATCACAAAATTGCTCACGCAGTGATTCCACGAGTAATACTGCTACGACACATGTGAGCAAGCACCTATATTTGCTTCATGTCTTCCACATTAGCGCCCATATCTCTGCCGAACAACAGGACAGAAAGAACAGCACCACAGTATATTCATCCTTTGATAGGTAGTCGGATATCACACCAGTTGGCACTACAGATGACGCAAGTTGAAGGATGACAAACTTGTCTTCTGCATCCGAGCTGAGATTTCATCAGTTACCAACCGGTTTAGGCTGATTCAATCTTTGCAAATAAGTGAAGTGGTTGACACTCTTCTTACTACCGTTAAACAGGGGATACTTGCAGCAGACCAGTTCTGGAGCATCATCTTACATATGACAGGTGCAAGCGAAACGAAAGCCAAACATACTGAGATTTCTGGTCAATGCGTCGACAAGACCCTGCATTTTGTCAATGTCTTCACCTAGTAGTACAATATCGTCCGAATACTTCAAGTCAACCAGATGACCTACAAGGAGTAGATGAATCCCTCTGAAGTGGGACATACCTAATGTTATGTCCATTAGTACATCTTTGACAAGGTTAAATGGGAAGTGTGACAATGGATATCACTGGTGGATACCTCTGTTTGTCTTCAATTCAAATGACATCCCTCCACAAACCCGTACACGACTGTGTGAGTTTGAGTAGAGAGTTGTGATTAGCATTATATACTTGGTCGGTACTCGCTTCACAGTCAGACATTGCTGCAATACTCGACGGTTGACAGGAGCAAATGCTGCCTTCAGGTCAATAAACAGAGCAAGTGTTGGCCAGTGGCCAGTAAGTATACCTGTTTTCCTGAACCTGTTGGAGTGTAAAAATATGAATGATGCACCCTTGTCCAGGTCAGAACCGTGCCTGATTTTCTCGATTTTGCTGTTCTAACGCTGCACTTAGATGTTAGATAACTATGGACCCTAGAGCCTTTGACATGATGTTAGTCAAACTAATTCCCCTCAGTCTGTCACAGGAAGACTTCCCTCCCTTCTTACAGACTAGAATAATCAGAAAAGCAGACAGGTCTAACGGGACTACCTGTGATTCCTATACACTACCTAGTTCCTCCATCCCTTTGATTAGCAATTCCCTGCCTCAATCCTTGAAAACTTCAGTCGGCAAACTGTCAGGTTCAAGTGCTTTACTTCCCTTCTGGTTCAGCACAGCATCTTCAATTTCGAGCGGGGTTGGCAAAATAACATCTCTGTCCCATCCAGAATCAGGCTGTATGTTAGGCAGCTGGAGCGTTTCTGTTGGCCAGCTGAACTGTGCTTCTAAGTTTTCCTTTGAACGTTCTAGCCACTTATCTTGAGAGGTTACCAGCGTCCTATCCTTTTCAGTGACGGTTTCACTAACCCTTATTTTCTGCTTGCCAGTCAACCCGTGATCCCGCCTACGACCGGGGCCAGAACCATCATGTTCCACACCCAGCACGTTACCACTGTGACTCTGGGTTGGAATCCAATGATCCACATTTTCCTACTTCTATCAGTTCACGATACAGCAACACCCTTTGTTTGGTTGGGTGTAGTTTATGCCATAGGAAACCATTTCGCTTACTAAGCAACAAAATCACAGATTATCCATCCAATACGGTTTAGAAATGAGAATTATATCATCAACTCCTGACGACCGTGAAAATGCGTAAGATTTGATAGTGAGTCTGTTGTTACTATTCTCTAATGGCTATTTAGTAACCTAAAGGAAACAAAGGGTATTCCTGACTTTATCATTAGTTTCATATGTTGTGGATTGAATACTCATTTTTTAGAGAGATCACCAAATTTCTGCAGCTGGATTTTATTCAAGTTTCCGGAAGATTTATCTAACCGCTCACTTGTAATGTGGTCACAATGAGATCTGAACGCTCTAGATTCAATTATATCAAAGCTTCAAATTCAATTCTAGAATCTCTGTAAGCCGATCAACTAAACAACTGAAGCAGTACAATCAGTTTAAAGATATACTTAATAAGGAATTATTGTTCACAAAAATAACGAGCATTCAAGATCTGAAAAGCAAATTTATTCAGTTGACTTTCGATAGTCAATATGTTGTCTGGGCACTATCCTTCTCGTGGACTTATTATGATTTGATATACCTTTTTGCAGATACAGTCCAGAACGTGAAGACGTGAATTTGGCTTCTAGGTTAGAACTTGAAGCACTAGAAGAAACTTAGCATCAGGCTAGCAACAGTAATTTTACTTCATTGTGAACAATATTCATTTGGCTTGTTATAAACTTATAAGCATATTATTCCCATTTACACTTCAGTTACTGTTATGATATTAAACTTTAGTTGACAGTAATAACACTAAAAAGCACAATGACATGAAAGAAGTTTCTATTAAACAAGGTTTCAAATACAAGTTCTTGTGTAGTTTCTTTCATTCTATTCCTATTATGCTACCTAATGTTTAGTTACCAAATATTATTTTGGTAGGGATATTACATACTACTTATTCATAACGGACATTTCAGTAGTTTTCCCTGCAAGTTCATTCAAATAACGCAGAACACATTATATAACTGTTAACCTGGTGTGATGTTGCTATTTTTACCTATTGTGCACGGTAGAAGAAAGCATCGCAACTGTCTTTCCGATTCGATACTTTCTGAAAGATAGTAAGTATTACCAAGTGTTCCTTGTAACCATAACTGAAGATTCGTAGACTAATTATACAGTTTTTCACAAATTCTAGCTCAGTTTATTCATCGCATACTACATCTAAGCATATTGCATAAAAGTTATTATACCTTGAGAACTTGAAATCATAAAAACTCTAAATAGAACAAATCTTGAGTAAAATAGTATAAAACTCTTTTTCAGAATATCATGTATAAAATTGTTTATACTGTACAAAAATATAAAAGATCATTCTTTAAGAAGCTGACTACCATGGTCTCCACAAAGGTTTTCCATCTGAAACATCACCTGTTTCGTTAGACACTAAAGAAGAGTTATAAGATGGTGATATTGAAGTTTCATTATCAAAAACATATTCACTCATGGCTGAATGTACTTGTGAATTCCTTGGACTGTGTAGTTCTATACAGTGGAAGGGTGAATGATGTCGAGGACTATATTCTATCATTGAACTGGTTGAATTCGATGAATCACTCAGTGACTTCTGTTTTGTTATGAAAGGGCTTGATGGACAATGAAGGGAGGATAAATCCATATTAAACAAGCGAGATATCGTTGATTGTTTGTGGAGAGTCATTTCTTCAGAAATAACAGACAGATAATTTTGTTCGGCCAGATTACAAAAAGGAGAAGATGATGAGGAGGATGATAGTGTGTAAGATCTAGATTCAGATCCGTTTGTTGACTGCTGCTTGGAGAGGATTTTCTGAATAGAATATTTGAAAGCTGTTTCACAAGATAGATAACCATAGAGAAATGTGTGTATATTTTCTGTTTGTTTTGTCTCACTGCATATGCAGTGGCAATTTCCGGGTATATCACCTTCAAACCAGAAAAGAAATAAAAATATCAAATTCGGTTCTCAACAGTATTTCAATAGGTGTAGACTTCATTATCTCCAAACGAAAACAACCAATTTTAGTAGTATTTTGATAGTTAAGGTATTCAAGAACACACTTTTCCTAGCATACAATAACGAAAACTGTTTTTAAACGTCTTACTTTAATAGGCATATTGCACTTGATGGTTTTTCTGCACAATAAAACCAACAATGTAAGTTCTATGTTTTGATAAATTACTGAAATGCTGATAATGAGAGAGGGTAATCTACGTGCCATAGAGTAATACAGCTGTCAAGTCTCTTCAAAAGCTTAGCTGTGTGATGAAATTACTCGATTTTCTTGAATTATCTTTTTTAGATGAATCATAAAGTCCTCTGAATCATTATTTCTATTCATAATAATTTGAAATTTATAAACATTTGAAATCATATCATTGAAGTGTAGTCAACATTGTGCTGATATGGAACAATAAAATGGATTATTTCAGGAAGGTATTCATCATGAAGTGACATCACTTGGAGAAACATTGAAAACATGGGAGATCTGGACAGCTGTTTTGTCCTAATATGTGACTCCTTACCGGTAAGCACCCATTACCCCACCAAGGATCGAACTCAGGACATTCAGCTTCCGTGGTCAGCGCGTTACCATTGAACCACTGGGTTGGAATTCACTAGTCCATATTTCCTACTTCTATTGAACATGAGGACAGTTACTCAACGACAACATCCCATAGAAGTCGTGCTATATCGAAAACTGACAGGAGTAGGTAATATGGAGTGCTGGATTCCTATTCAGTGGCCCAATGGTAACGTGCTGGCGGTGGATGTCCTGATCCCAAGTCCTGGTGGAGTCACGGATGCGTGCTGTTGAGCAGTTCCATACCAGAACGAAACAGCTGTCTAGTGTTCACAGGTTTCAATGTTTCTCCAACTGATATCACTTCATGATAAATACCAACCTGAAACCAACAAATCTCCACAAACCTTAAATTTGAATTTGGATTATTTTTGCATCGGTGACTACTACTATGACTGGTTTTGGATTAAGTTACCTTAGTCTTTTTATCAAACGGACCAACCAATCAAAGGAACAGTTCGTTGATTTTTTTTCGTCTGTATTTAACGGTGACTGCCGCAGAAAAACTGAAAGATGAAACTGAAGTTCTTAGCAACGTTATTATCGTAGACTATTGGACTAATCCGGGGGGGGACTACTTTTAATTGCATAACTCGTGCACGATTGTACGTTAGGTGAGCAAAACTAAATGGAATTTGTTATCATCTATTACAGGGACTGTTGGGTGCTTCATAAAGCAGGGACTTATAGTGCATTAACAATAAATCCCAGAAAGAAGGATACCCAACCATTATATAGATACACGTAAGTTTCTAATCAGATATTTTGCCACATTTATACTTTCCTACTGACATTAAGGGCATTTTCTAGTCAATCCAGGTTAAAATATGTCAATTGGCTCACCTCAACACAAGACTAATGAATCCAAATAGAATCTTTATTTACCCTATTTATTAAGACTGATGACAAAATCTTTGGTTTCTCGTGCTAGAAGCAGGATGAACCCAAATAGGAATGAGATAGCAGTCATTATTCATTTAAAAAAACCTATTTACTGACCAATGACTGTTATTTGAATAAGTTTAGCGAAATTGCAACAATGCAAGTGAATAACTCTTAAACAGTAAAATTTCAAACGTATCTCCAAAGCACTTACTGGCTGATAGTTCCCTGATAAATTTCACAGTCATATCTAAAATATCGGCTTTCTCCAGTTTATTAGACTGAAAAACAAGAAAGGGTGGAGATATTATACATATTAATGATCAAAATTAGTGTATCAAACAAACAGTTATTATGGATTTCATGTTATAGGTAACTAGCCGGCGAAATAATGCTTTCTGGGGCTAGGTTACATTAAAAAGCTCTAGGAATATCAATCAGAATGAATAAAAGTCATGAAGATTTAGAAACTGTGACCAGTTCAAGCCCAGACATCGATCGGAATGTTGTAGACAAACTGTTTAACACTATATTTCTGATCATTTTACTCCATTAAAGACGGAGTGTCTTTAGTGGAAGCTAAGAAAACACTGAAATTAGTGACTGATCGAATGTGGTCAATCATACGAAAAAATATATTGGCATTATCGTTTTTAATGAAAATAACACCTTTCTCAATCACCATCAATACACATCAACTCAAATATCCTTTCACTGATACACTTCAGATAAATCCTATCAGAAAATATGAATCCTACACACACACACACACACACACACACACACACACACACACACACACACATCTCATACCATGTCGCCTACTCAGATGAATGAATATATTCTTCACATCACACAATCTCCTAGTAACCTTCAAAACCCACATTCACAAGCCATTCATTCATCTGTAAGCGCCATTTTCACACCAACAAGTGGGCACTGAGTTTCCTGTACGAAAAAGTAAACAACCAAGTACTTCGTGATACCAGTAGCTTCTTCAAATATACTGAAGCGTCCAGAAAAAAATAACTGATTCAATTAGATTTACGTGATCAATCCAAGCTACACTTCACACATTGCATAACACATACTCAGAATGCTTTCCTGAAAACTTACTTACTGATGATAGAACTTAATTCATGTATTAATTGGTGAAGCCAGTGAGTGTCCCAACACACTCTGCATTCCTAAATCTGTCTAATGAGTGAAACTAATTAACCTGAGAGATTTACTACTTCAACACCTTTTAACACACTAGCAAGTCGCCTGCACACTCACTCCTCTGTCAGTGAAAGCACACAATCCACCTCACTTCACTCCACAGTCACACGTCCACCTACACATACGCACACACATACACGCACACACACAAACACACACACCACAGCTCAGTCAATGCATTGTCTACACAATTAATTAATCGTTAAATAGTGAGGTGGTGGGTGAAGTAGATGGAATCACTTACATGCTTCATTCGAGGTTCTATGATCAATTTTCTCAATTCTTCAAGTGCATGATTGATGCGTTGACGTCTACGCTTCTCCATCAATGGTTTGTTACGCTGATTGTTATTAAATCAGTGAAGAGATGAAACGAAAGGTGATGAGTTAAAATGACGATTTAATTAATGAAATGTGTTTTTTTTTCTTATTGAAATGATGAGTGTGTTTGGTGAAACAAGAAAGACGGTAGCAACATCTTACCAAAGAATTGGGAGTAATAATGAAGAAGTATGTCACATGTTGGTCAATTTTTTGAAGTGCATAATTAGTGTGTGACAGAATATGGTCGTTATTCTTAGACTAAGTTGATGAAGTAGTATACAGTTGGTGTTCTCCTTGCCTGAATTCCTTGACACTCGACATTTGTTATTAGTTTAACTTAAGCGACACATTCATAAAAGCGTAACCACTGTGTCTGCATGAACTTGGTTGTATAAACAGTGAGACTGAGTTATGTCATGGAAAGTATTCCACCTTGGCTACCAGTCAGGAAACACATTCAAATTTAATGAAACCTATACTACTAGATAAGCAAATCATCATGTTGTGCTTTATTATATCTTTCGGTAGGCTGTGTATAACTTCACTATATTCCATTTATTTTCAAATATCCATACTATGCTTGTCATTAGGTTTCCTACATAATCTTTATTCAACTTGTATTTCTATCGTCATTTGCTTGTAGTAAATACATAGGCTGACAATGAATAATGCTACTGTTGCAGGATGCGAAAACTATGTGTTCAATGGGCAAATGATGTCACAATTTATCTTCAGTAATTTCGAATGACTTTTTGACTATCTTCACAAATTCACATAGAGCTACAGCCACATTAAGAAATGAATCAGTAACTGTTAACGTGGCTACTTTCTGTTTAAAAGCAGACGCTATATCTGCTCACTAAACGAAGGTAAACAGAAAAGATTCAAGGATAAACTTATTCGAATGTATAAATTATTGAGTGACATAACAAACGGGAAAATCACTTTTCTTCTTATATATAAATGATAATGTGTCAAGCATCATGGTTTACAAAAAGTACAGCTATCATCAGCAAAAGTAAAACATTGTGCTATGAAAAAAAAAAATCTAGTTATCCAATGAGTTTAATTAAATATTTAAGTTATTTCCCTCCAACTGATTTGAAAACAACTTGAAAACAGCTTTATATGTAGGTGTCTACCTAATGCTTTCAATGGTAGGTAAATTCTAATTGTTACTTATTGAGATAAGCTTTTTTCCCATGGGTTGAAATTACTTTGAATTCTGCACACAACTAAGAACGTTTTCACTGTAACAAGGCAACTTTGTGGAACTAAAGTTAACAACTAAAATAGTAACCTTCTTGAAAACCATATTGCGATTCATTAGCCTTCAACAATGTTGTATAGATAAGCATTCTTCTTCAGAAACTTCGGTTCACTCTAAATAAAATCGTGAACGTTAAAGCTTCAAACCATGTTGAAACAATCTTTACAAAATCACAGATTCTGCATACTGATAAGCTGAACCAAAATAACTAATGAAACATTTCCTCTAACTATCTAGTTCTCACTTATCATTAAGCTTATCTACATGCACTATTTTCAGATTGAAGTCGAAGTAATGAAGGATAACTTGGAATCATTATGAAGAGTTTGAAACCCAGTCATTACGTATTGTTCTCAAAAATATCATTCGCCGAAACATGCAAATTTCTTTTATTTATACCTCCTTTTATGCACAGAAGTGATCATAGATATAGAAGATGTATTCCAAAACATAGACTATCTGTCACTTATATCTCGTTTCTAGGCTGATTTTGTTAAGATCACTTAAGTAGGGTACATGATCAGTCAGTTCCGTCACGGAAAGGACTTAGTAGCAGTCATGAACAGCTGACAGAGCATAGATTTCAATTTAAAAGGTGCATCGGCAATGAACACGATAAATTCAAAAAACTTGTAATGGTTACATTTCATTTAAAATCCTATAACTCCGAGTGTCTCTTACTACACTTTTCAAACGGGAAACATGTGGTTGTGCGTGCTACAAATAGGAATCCTATTCAGAATTCTTAAAACACAAGTTATCGTGAAGATTCTTAGTTCAAAGACCACGTACAGCTCATTGCCAGTCTATGTATACTGCAAGTAGGCATAAACAAACTCCCCAAAGAATAACATCTTTCAAACTGGTAATAAAAAATAGTATTCACCCCGACAAAGAATTTCAAAACTGAACTCTTCAAACTACCCTATAGATAACTATTCAAAGTCTGTAGCATCCTAAAAGAAGGCAAACAACTGAAAATGTTAAGATGATCCCAACCTTGAATTACTTTCGGTTGAAAAGTAAGTTTAGATTGGTAAGCAATGAACGCGTGATTCGTCTTCAGTAGATACTTCTCATCCCCCCCTTACCACCAAGTTTAATCAGGACTAATCTCAAGGCCGTGCAGCTAAATGCATGTTGGTCTCTGTGGGGCTAGATCAGGTTTTTGTGCTTGATGTGGGCGTTGGCGGTTATGCATAAAGAAGAATGTACGTTTTAAATATAAGCTATGGTAGTGTGAGGTAGGTATGGGAAACCAATACTATAGTTAATAACAGGACTCTATTATATGGTCGGAGAGAATTTCGCCATAACAGTTATAATCAGGCACTTACCTTTTTCATATTTACTTGAGCCCCAGATAAGTGTGAATCTGACTGATTGTTCATCGAAATGTTCATTCCACAAGGAATTGTATAACGTTGTGATCCCTTATGAGCGAAAGGTGTTGATGTATGCATTCTGGTCAGGTTAGTTATGATTTGTAAATATTTCTTTGGTGAAAGTAGTTAATTATGTTGAAATTTATTTACAAATTGAAGGGTGGAGTGGGAGTTGTATTTAATTGGTAATTTGTGACTGATTGGTGTGTCCTACGAACAGCAGAAATCCACTTCTGTAACGTGATCTTTCTTCTCTAACACCACCCTCAGAGAATGAATGAAATGTCTCACATTTTCTGCACACACACTTACACTTATGTGCACCCAAATGTGTACCAGTCGCTTAAATTTCACCCCTTATTGTGATTTGTCGAAATTTTAATCTAACCTGAAAATATTAATCATTTGTTTAAATATTTTCGCCACTTATAATGACTAATGAATTGTGCTAGATTTTTTGACGTGAGGACTAATAATCCATCATATAAGTGAATTTGTGTTATAAAAGTTACGTGTAATTCATAGCTAGTTCACGTATTTACAATAAGTTCAAACATCTTTAATTGAATGGTTAGTTAAAATTCTCTTCGAGAGATCGAAATCGGTGGTTTCAGAGATAGGATGAAATGGTTGAGCAACATTTTTGCGTTAATGTTGCTTAAAAATCTTAAGTAATGTACGCTATCAACCCAATTCGACAGCGAAACGAACTGGAGAATTTTTATTCCCGGCATTATTATTTCTATTAGTCTTTTGGGTTCCTAATGGAACATAGGGCTTCAGTAGCACGTCTCCAGTGAACTCTGTTCCCTGAAATCTTTTGAACCTGGTCCCACGACAGCCCACAACCTCTCATTTCCTCCTCGCACCATCTCCTCCATGTCACCCTCACCTAGGACGCCCAACTCGTCGCTTCCCATGGGGATTCCACTCGAGCAACTGGCCTGACGCGTGATGTCCTCCGTCGGCCTTCTCAGTGCATGGCCAATCCACCTCCACTTCTTCCTGCATATTTGTTGAGTGATAGGTTCTTGGTTGGTTCGTTCCCAGAGCTCCTTGTTGCTTATTGTTTCTGGCTATCTGATCTTCAGTAGCGAGCGTAAGCAGTTGTTGATGAATGTCTGTAGTTTATTGGAAATCCCTTTCGTAACGCGCCAAGTCTCTGAGCCATACAAGAGCACTGACTTGACTGGCATAAGTGTTGAAAATCCGTATCTTGTTTACGCATCATGCTGAGTGCAGAAGATCTCCACACTAGTTTCAGGCTAATGAACTCCTCTCTTGCTTTTCCGATCCTGGCTGACTTTGACATCCTCGTCTGTGCCGCCACCTGTAGTTGAAACAGTGCTTCCTAGATAGGTGAAGGAGGTTACTTCCTTTGAGTTTCTCCCGTTTATGGTGATTGGAGTTTGTTGTTGTTGTTGCTGGTGGTGTTGTTGGTTGGGTATCTTCATCACCTCTGTCTTCCCTATATTCACTTGAATTACCGTCTTCGCCGCCTCACCTCTTCTACTAACTTGTTAGTTTTTGCCTGTAGATCTTCAAGTTTATGTGACATCAGACACAAGTCATCGTTGGCGAAATCCAGATCTTCTAGGTTCTTTTCCGCAGTCCAGCCAGCGTATCCCCCTCTTCTCACAGCTCCCCACTGCTTGTTGCATGATCCAGTCAACCACAATCAAGAATATCATGGGTGATATTAGACAGCCTTGTTTCACTCCTTCCTGTCCTCACTTCAAAAGCATCACTGAGCTGAGCTTCCCATTGTGAATTACTTGGCATGTGGCGTCTTCATATAGTTGTTGAATGAGGCCGATAAAGGTTTGCGGTATTCTGTAGTATTCAAGCAGTTTCCAAATTACTTCTCGGTCGACGCTGTCAAAGGCCTTCTCAAAGTCGGTAAAGTTGAGGTGGAGAGGTGATTGCCATTCTATGCTCTGTTCTATGATGATGCGTAGTGTGGCGTTGCAATTTGATCCGCACATGATTTGTACTTCCTTAATCCGGCCAGCCTGTTCCGGTCGTAGTTTTGAATCTAGAGCATCCTTTAGCCTCTCCAGGATGATGCGGTCTAATATTTTGCTTGGGGTGGACAGGAGAGTGATTCCGCGCCAGTTCTTGCAAACGCTTAGGTCGCCCTTCTTTGGCAGTTTGACAAGTTAACCCTTCTTCCAATCGCCAGGTACCTTCTCTTCCTTCCACACCTTCTGCAATAGCGGTGTGAGCATGTCCTCTGTTGTCTCTGCGTCTGTTCTCAGTGCTTCTGGTGGGATCCCATCTGGTCGTGCTGCTTTCCCACATTTCTGCAGCTTTATGGCTTTCAGGACCTCCACTTTTGTTGGAGGATTTATGTTCACTTGTAGTTCTGTGGCTGGGCTGCAGGTGGTATTTCTGGACGAAGTGCAGGTGATGGTCGATTCAAGAGCTTCTTGAAGTGGTCGGCACATTGTTTCCTTTGTTTCTCTTTTTTCGTAATTAAATTCCCGTCATCATCTCTTATTGGTTTCGTCTGCGTTGATCTCCTCCCAGATAGCAACCTGGTCATTTGATACAATGTTGTCAGGTTTCTCTTACCTGCAGCCTGTTCTGCTTCACTTGCCAGCGTTTCGTAGAAGTGTCTTTTGTCTTTCCGTGCACTCTTCTTCACTTCTTTGTCCAGTGTTTTGTACATTGTACTCAGTTCCTCTTGTCGTTGAGCATCCTTGCACTGGTTTATCTTCTGCTTCACCATCCTCCTCTCCCTGCTCTATCAGCTTCCATGTATCCATCGAGATCCATTCCTTATCTTCTTTCTTCTTCCTCCCTAATACGGCTGTGCAGGTTTCTTTCCACATCTTTTTCAAAGACTTCCAGTGTTCTTCCACACAGGTTTCTTCAGGGATGTTCCTCGATACCTCCCATTTTGTCTTGATGGCTGACGTCCTTCAGTTTCCGAGTGTTGTACTTGAACTGCGGTCTATCACCAACTTATCTGAAGGCTTTTCACTTGATTTGGAAGGTTCCTTGCACTAGATAGTGGTCTGAACCTACATCTGCTCCTCTTCTTGACCTTGTGTCAAGTAGACTACGTCTTCATTTTCTTGAGATTGAGATAAAGTCGATTTGGTTTTTAGTGTGTCCATCTGGTGAAATCCATGTCGCTTTGTGGATATCTTTGTGCTTGGACACACTGCCTCACTGCAATCACCAAATCGTTGAATGCACAGAATTCTGCAAACAATTCTCCATTCTCGTTCATCACCTCACCGAGCGCTTCTCGACCCATGGTTAGTTCTCTTCCTGTGTTGTCTGCTCCACGCAGTTTGGCATTCATGTCACCCACTAGAATTTTGATATCGCCAACTGACGTCTTGTCCAGTGTTGATTGAAGTTGTCTGTAGAGTTCCTCCTTTTTCTCTTGCTCTGCATTATTTGTAGGTGCGTAACATTGTATGATTGTGACCTTCCTTCCTTTTGAGTTGAACCTTGCGGCATCCTACCACTGAACTAATGAGAATGCATTAGTTTTAAACTAATTCACTAAAGATTTCAGATTGATATTCATCCTGGGCAGACGTCAGTAGGAGGAAAATTGGAAACCTGGGAGAACTGGACGACTGTTTCATCCTTGTATGGGGTTCCTCGAAAGTGCACACCCATGATACCGTCACTGCTCCCAGGTTTGCAATTTTTCTCCAAATGATGTCAGTTCATGATGAGTAGTAAACTGAAATTAATAAATAATTCCCTACAAACCATCAAATTGAACTTACTACAGAATTCGAATATTTTATTTCATTGCAGAGAAATATGTGGCAACCAATTTCCTAGTAATCCAAACTGTGAGGAAGCAGCTAAGTGATAGTACAAACCAAAAGCTTATAATTTTAGGGTTTTGTATGATTATCTCTTTGATAATCGAGATTTAATTCACAAAGTGTATAAAATGTGGCTTTTAAGAATGGAACGTTCCCCCTAATTCTCTTTTAGAATAAGGTGGGGAAGACTCACTGGAGTCAGTTCACTGCTGCCAGACAAGGACTTCCTACCAACTGCTTCCAACCAACTAACACCAACCAAAATGCACCATGACAACAAGTCTCCGAGTTTTTTTCCACAGTAGAAAATGATGAGTAGAATTTCACCAACACAGGATCAAGCAACATGAAATTGGCTACTATCCAGTGACTAGTCAATAGGATAATAGGAATCTCAATTAATAGAAAGTTTATTTCGTTGATATAAACCCATTGAGTCAACTGATTGTTATCATCATCCCATCCCAACATTTTCTCACGATATTAATGAGTTAACATTTGAGAAGGCAACATAAGTTTGTACAGCAAGGTTGTCGAGAAGATGAATATTACAATATTTCCTAGAAAAATGCAATTGTTGTCATTTTTTTGTCATAATAATGACTTAGTTTCTACGATGTGACTCTCAAAACGCCGCACTTATGACTCAATAAGTATCGCTTTCTTCGATACCTGAACACAAGTATACTGCAGCTACAATGAGTTTTCCACGCAGTCATTTTTCTTGTCCATTATTCATTCCGTTAAATCATCGCTATTATACGCATACGTAAACTGATGCACAAAACTCTTGAAACTATGTGCTCAGGTTTGAAAATCCAATATTCTTGCCACTTGATAAACTTTATTTTTCCTGGTAATTACTTGATGTCTTTAGTTATATCGATACTATGTAGATAGACTCCGTTGACTGTTCATTCGAGCTATTAATCTCAAGTAGTTCAACGGTATTTCAATCTTTCCTTCTAAAACAATCGAAAGACTTCCATTACGTACTGCCAATTTTACTACTTATCATCCCACATTCCTATCTTTCTAAATGAACCTTATTATTTAGTCGTGCTACGTTCTCTAACTTCTGTATATTTTCTCCCACACTGTTCCACGTGTCACGTCATATTCACCGATCTCCTTTATGAACCTGCTGACTCTACTTTGCTAAACTTAGCAGGTGACCAGCGATTTCGTCGAAATGTCCTATCCGTTTCACAACACTTCTACTAATGTACAGCTATGAAAGGTGTGTTCATCGAGAAAGTAATCGTCTTCTCCTTAACCATC